ATTTTAATCGACTCTTTTCGCTCATCCTCCCCAGTGCAAACCTTCTTAGCGGTGCGGAACATATTCCTAACAACCGCTCGCTTTATGTAAAAAGGATGAGCTGAGTGATAATGGACAATGATATTTTTATTGCTGGGCTTTCTGTACCACTTCGTAATCATCGTATCGCCGTGTAACCTCACTTGAACATTTAAGAATGGAAGCCAGTTTCCGGTCGGTTTTTCCCGAGTTAACTTAATGTGCTCCGATTGTGAGTTCAGCAGGTCAAAACACACATCTATTTCTTTCTGTGTCGCACAAACTATGAAGCAGTCGTCTATGTACCTGCAGTAAAGTAAGGGCAGGTATTCAAGTGCAGGTGCTTCAATCTTGGCCATGAATGCTATAGCCAGGACAGGTGCCAATCGCTGTCCCATAGCCAAGCCTCTGGTCTGTGCGAAATACCTCCCCGACCACTTGAAAATGTTGCAACTGAGACACTCATTCACAAGTGCCATCAGTTGGGATATAGAAAGCCCTCGCATATTTATATCGTTCTGGTGCCGACTAAGAAGCTCAAATATTGCTTCCATAGCAGACCCATTGCTGACGTTTGTGTAGAGAGCTTCTACATCAAAAGATTCCATGACGCACGAACCACTAAGGTGCAGTGCGCCAAGGCGATCCAGAAACATTTGGGTGTTTGTGAGGTGAGAGGGTATGAACTTGAGGAGCTGCACTAAAATGGTATTAAGGAACCACGCAATTCGGTCAGTAGGACCACCCACGCAGCTTATGATAGGACGGACTTTCACGGATGTTGGGTTGATTGAAGCTAAGTCATCTGCATCCAAAAACTTGTGTGTCTTTATGAGCAGATACAGGACCGGACAACAAGGTGACTCAAGTTTGAGCCGTGTTATCAATGTTGAACTCAATCCTGCTGACCTTGCTACTGAAACCCATTGCGATGGACATGGGAGTCACGTGGTACGCAGTTTCATACCGAATTAGATCACATCTTCAACGACCGAGAATTCTGCTCAAATGACGTGGCTGTTACTCAGATATTCTACATGATATCGGATTACCGTCTGTGCCAGATTCCTTTTTCCGATGTTTGTAGAAAGAACAGGGGAATTCATGTAACAAGGTCTCAATTCGCCAACTGAGACCACTTCGTCTCCCTTGAAATTCTGTGAAAAGATTTCTTCATCAACAAAATCGATGAGTATTACAAATGGTTCGTCTATTTTCGCTATAGGCTAGAAAACAAGGAGATTACAAGTAGCCGGGGAATTTTCTTCTTCGAAAAATTTCGAGCTGTTACAGCAGGGAGTAGTGCGAGCTACAAGCAATCATCAGCAAACGTCCGAATCTGCGAAGCTATGCAAAGATCCATGAAGGAACATCTGAAAGAGAGAACAGAAGCAGTTATGGAGAAGCCGCCGAGGCCGGGACGAGCGTCTGCAAAGCCTGCCGGAGCTTCATCAACTTCGACGGACCAATTACTGCACATCGAAGGATACTGCAGAACGCAATCTTCGACTTCTACTCGAATCTCTTCGACAGCCACGTCTACCTGCCTATCCACCGTCTGAGGCAGAATGGATATGTCCTTGCTTCGGTTTCCCCTTCTGAAATTCGACATGTTACTACGTCGATGAAGAATCGTATGGCTCTCCTAATTACATGAATACAGCAGATTTTGACTGACCTGATCTAATCTTATCAAAACTCTTATCTTTATATCCAGAACAATAGTTAGCCCCTCCCAGAAGTACCGGTCAGATTGTAAAATGCCGCGTGGAAAAATAGCAAGTCTGCTATTTTCTAGTCTACTAGTCTGTAGACTAGTTCTAGTCTTTTCTAGTCTGCTAAAATATCAAGCCTTATACGACCCTACTTAGCCGTATAAGATTGTTACTGTTCTGTTGCGACACTTTTACGATACTGTTGATACTGTTCCAGACGATACTTGCGACTATTGTTCAATCTTGTTGTTGCTATCTGTGATCAACGAATTTTCAAACGAGCATTCCTTAGTAGTATTACCATAATATAAGAGAAGGACAACCATGCGAACAAGCTGGATATCAGAAAGGGTTCAGTACAATCGATCACATCCACGCTGTCACAAGACCCGCTGAAGTATCCCGAGAATACAGGATGCCTTAGACTTCCTCACTCAGTCTCATCGATGTAAAGGCACGGTTCACGATAAGAAAAGTTATTGAGTTCTTACCTTATCAGTACACAGCGGCCCTCATGGGTTGCAGAAGGGACCCTCTCCCTCCCATAATCTACGTGTGGAAGCCATGCTGCTGGCGTAATTGGCTGTTACGCTCCTCGATCGATGTCACGTCAGACGAGTGTCGAGACAATACAGAATGCAGCCATTGGCTGCTTTCATAGTCCGCAATTCGGCCCACGAGCGAGCGAGCGAGCGACCGGGGGCGGCGGTTGCCCCTTGTTTACAACTGAATCCAGGTCGATACCGCCGTACGAGTAATCCCACGGTCGCTCCCTCGCTCTGTCGGTCGCTCACTCGATCGTTCGCGGACCGAATCGCGGACTATGAAAGTAGACATTTGCTCTAGGACCCACACACAATCAGCTAGCTGATCGCCGAGTGATGAGGTGATGTTTTACTCCCATTCTGTTTTCCTCTGTTATTCTTTTTGCTGCCGCAATCCCTTATTTAATTTTCTACACCTAGAGGCTGAAAAGGTGAGCTACTTTTGCTGTTACTAGGGTTTTTCTGCTTACTTATGCATATAGTAGGCAGTGAGACGCATTGTACAGCTCGTCCTAACGCCCAACATCTCCTTTTTCTGGTCTCATTCTCGTCCAGCCCCCTTTTAACGGCTTTTCGGAGCCTTCTTTCACTTTAGAAACAAGATGATTTTTGATCTTGCCCTCCATTTTTCATCATAATCGGGATTACCCCCAATTATCGTGAACTGCGCCTTTAAAGATGGCCTATGATACTGTCGAGGCAGATGCGGATGCCATTGCAACTAGTGTATTACAACTAAGCACATAGGGATGCTTTGTGTGCTTTACGACATCTTCACGATCAGAAGTTCGGTATTCTGGAGAAAGTCATTGTGAACCTGAAGGCAGGGCTCGGTAGAGCGATACCACCTTTTTCAAACTTTCCAGTTCCGCCCGCCGCTTTTGATTTGATTTGATTTGATTTGATTTATTACACGAAGACATTCGTGTGAAGCCATAGCAATAAAGGCTACAATTCATAGTTGTGAATTAACAATGGAAGAGTGGAAAATTAAATTAAATTGAATGTAACGTCACGCACGCTTATAAGGCTGAGGAAAATCACCGGCTAACTGAAAGTGAGTTGGCCACATTGTGAAAATGCAGTGCAAAGTGACATAAGTTGTGAACCATGATTTCATTGGAAGTGTTGAGTCGCAAGTTTTTTGAACTGAGCAATGGTTTTAGGCACATCACCCCGTTTCACGATTCTGTTGAATTCTAAGCCAGCACGGTGGCAGAAAAAGTGAGATCGATGTGGGGTCTTTGGTCTGGGAATATATACCTTGAGGTTGCCTCCCCGCGTACGAGAGTCCCCTGCAGAGAATAGCTTAGACTTATCAATAGAAACTTTTCCGCTAAGAATTTTGTAAAGCATAAGTACATCATTCAGCTTTCTTCTTTGCTCAAGTGACTGCAAACCCAGCATTTTATTTCTAATAGCATTGTGAGGTATAGTCATATAGTTATACCCATGAACTCTAATTAATAGCTTCCTAGTGAAATCATTTTGTACCTTCTCAATAGTCTTAATAAGGACTTTCTTATGTGGGCTATAAATAACAGTTCCATATTCAAGGATAGGGCGGATATAAGTTTTAAATGCACGAAGAAGTACTTGGACATCTTTGCTTCTGAACGCTTTATAAAAATTGAAGATCTTATTGGTAGCCTTGCTGACAACCTTGTTTATATG